GGCGGTGGCGGGGGCGGCGGAGGAGGGGTGAGAGGGGAAAGGGAAAGGCTAGGGCTTGCTCCCTGGAGGGAGAGTGCTCTGGGTCCTCTGTCCTAAGAGTTTTAAGGGTGGAGATTTTAGGGGAGTTCCCAGGGGAAGGTCTTAATAGAATATTCAGCAGCTTTCCAGGTGTGTCCTTTCAGTCTAGGTCTTCACTGATTGATTGGCGGGCATCAGGGCAGGGGTTCATTATCCAATGCAGCTGGTCCTGAGGTTGCTGGTCTGGTTTTGCTGCTTTTCTGGGCCTGGAGCTAAAATCTGTATGTCTGTTTTTTGACAGTACCATGCTGTTTGATTACTATGGCCTTGTAGTATAGTTTGATATCAGGTAGCATGATTCCTCCAACTTTGTTCTTTCTTAAGACTGCTGTTGCTGTTGGGGGTCTTTTGTAGTTCCATATAAATTTTTGGAATATTTGTTCCAGTTCTATGAGATACGCAGTTGTTATCTTGAAAGGAATCTGTAGATTGATTTGGGTAGTATGGACATTTTAATTATATTAATTCTTCCTATCCATGAACAAGGTATATGCTTCCACTTACTTGTTTCTTTTTCAGTTTCTTACTTCACTGTCTTATAACTCTCTGAGTATAGGTCTTTTACATCCTTGGTTAAATTTATTTAGGTATTTTGTTCTTTTTGAAGCAATTGTGAATGGGATTGTTTTTTTAGTTTCCCTTTCTGATAGTTCATTATTGGTGTATAAAAATGCAACTGATTTCTGTATATTTACTTTGTACCTACTACTTTACTGAATTCATTTTTCAGTTCTCGTTGTTTTTTGGTGGAATCTTTAGGGTTCTCTATTTACAGTATTGTGTCATCTGCAAATAGTGACAGTTTTACTTCTTCCTTTCCAATTTGGATGTCTTTTATTTCTACTTCTTCTCTGATTGCCAGATGTCCAGTACTGTGTTGAGTAAGAGTGGTGAAAGTGGACATCCCTGTCTTATTCCCAATCTTAATGGGACTGCTTGTAGTTTTTGCCCATTGAGTATGATGTTGGTTGTCAGTTTGTCATATATGGCCTTTATTATGTTGAGGCATGTTTCCTTTATTCCCACTTTGCTGAGAGTTTTTATCATAAATGGGTGCTGGATTTTATCAAATGCTTTTTCTAAATCTATTGATATGATCATATGTTCTTTATCCTTCATTTTGTTTATGTGGCGTATCACATTTATTGTTTTGCAGATATTGTGCCAGCTTTGAATCCCCAGAATAATTTATACTTGGTCATGGTGTATGATCTTTTTAATGTATTGCTGGATTTGGTTTGCTAATATTTTGTTGAGGATTTTATCATCTATGTTCATCATAGACATTGGCCTGTAATTTTCTTTCTTTGAAGTGTCTTTATCTGGTTTTGGAAATAGTATGCTGGCCTTATAAAATGAGCTTGGAAGCCTTCCCTCCTCTTGAATTTTTTGGAATAGTTTGAGAAGAATAAA